AAGAACAGGAGTACTTGTGGCACCTTAGAGACTAACAAATTTATTAGAGCATAAGCTTTCGTGGACTACAGCCCACTTGTTCGGATGCATATAGAGTGGAACATATATTGAGGAGATATATATACACACATACAGAGAGACAACAGAAAAACTTCAAAAACAGACTCCAACGAGAGACTGCTGAGTTGGAATTGATATGCAAACTAGATACAATCAACTCAGGATTGAATAAGGACTGGGAATGGCTGAGCCATTACAAACATTGAATCTATCTCCCCTTGTAAGTATTCTCACACTTCTTATCAAACTGTCTGTATTGGGTTATCTTGATTATCACTTCAAAAGTTTTTTTCTCTTACTTAATTGGCCTCTCAGAGTTGGTAAGACAACTTCCACCTGTTCATGCTCTCTGTATGTGTGTGTGTATATATATCTCCTCAATATATGTTCCACTCTATATGCATCCGAAGAAGTGGGCTGTAGTCCACGAGTGATTGTTATGTTACCAGAGGTGTATTTTACAGAAATGTTTCAATGCTGCATGTGAATTTAACAATCATGCTTCTGTGCATTGTTCCTTGTGCTTCGGCAGATGTGGCCTTGAGGAACACTCCATGCACACCGTCCAAACATCTCTGCCAGATAAGAAAGTGCCCAAGATGGAGCAAAGAAGACATGTTCCAGGAGGTACTGCACTTCTCCAATGCAGAGAAAAGGGAACACAAGGAGTGGAGGGGAAGCCAAAAGGCAAGACAGAAGAGATAATCAGGAGTTTAAGGATGCTACTGAGTGGACGATTAAAGTAATGGAGGAGTGCAAACAGATACTGAAGTCCTTAATAATGCTGCTGACTGAGCAGATCCATGCCCACCCTCCCCTGCAGCACATTCAGAACTCTTTTCTGTGCCCCCCCTCAACTCCGCCCACACATTCCTTTCCACTTTCTGGGACTTCTCAGTTTCCCCTTCACTCCACCCCTGTGGACAACTTTCAAAATAACTGGACCTACACAAAGCTCTGAAAGTCTAACCTTCCCTGGTACCTCCTTACCTACCAAGCGTCTGTGTGTGTTGTTTCGTGTGCAATAAAAGCAAAGTTTTTGAATGGTAACTCATCTTCATTTGTTTCCTACAAATTCAGATAGCAGGCACAACCAATACATACACAGGCAGTTTAATCATTTGCTTACTGGAATGTAAGGCCCCAAATTTCACCATTGCTTCCTAGGAAAACTACATGTAATCACAAAGATATACATTACTGGTTCTTGTTTTCAAAGTGTTGTCTCAAAGCCTCCCTGATTTGAATTGACCCCTCTGATAGCCCTGGTATCTGGCTGCTCAAAATCAGCAGCCAAGAGATCTGCTTCCACACTCCACCCGTGAGCAAACCTTTCACCCTTAGCTTCAACGAGATTATGCAACGTACAACATGCGGCTATGACCATAGGATTATCATCCTCATTGAGGTCTAACCTGCCATAAAGGCATCGCCAGTGTGCCTTTAATCTGTCAAAGGCACATTCCACTGTCATCCAGCACCTACTCAACTTCTTGTTGAACCGCTCCTTACTGCTGTCCAGGTTTTCTGTTTAAGGTTTCATGAGCCATGGCTGTAAGGGGTATGCTGGGTCTTCCAGGATCAATATGGGCATTTCAACTTCCCCCACTGTAATCTTCTGGTCTGGAAAGGAAGTCCCTGCTTGTAGCTTTCTATACAGGCTGGTGTTCCTGAAGATGTGTGCGTCATGCATCTTCCCAGACCACCCCGCACTGATGTCAGTGAAATGCCCATGGTGATCTACAAGCGCTTGCAGCACCCTGGAGAAGTACCCTTCCTATTGATGTACTCTGTTGCAAGGTGGTCTGGTGCCAAATATGTGTGCCGTCTATCGACCCTCCACAGTTAAGGAAACCCATTTCTGCAAAGCTGTCCACTATTTCACACACATTTCCCAGAGTCAAGGTCCTTCGTAGCAGGATGTGATTAATTGCCCACTTGCATTAACGCAGCCCTGTCGGTCGACTTCCCGACTCCAAATTACTACGCGACCAACAGGTAGCAGTCTGGAGTCGCCAACTTCTACACAGAGATCACCATGTGCTTCTCCACCAATATAGGAGCTCTCATTCTGGTATCCTTGCGCCACAGTGCTGGGGAAAGCTCTGCACACAGTTCCAGGAAGGTGGCTTTCCACCTCCGAAAGTTCTGTAGCCCCTGCTTGTCATCTGAGACCTGTATGAGGATACGATCCCACCATTCAATGCTTGTTTCCCGAGCCTAAAAGTGACGGTTCACTGTCTGCAGCTGTTCCGTGAATGCCAAAAGCAATCTAAAGTTGCTCCTATCCATATCAGACTGCTTGTCAGGCAACTGGGAGTCTTCTTCAGTTAGGAACTTTGTGATTACCTGCACTGCCATCCGCAATGTCTTCATGACAGTGATCAGAGCTTAGGAGAGCAGTTCAGGATCCATCCCTTCACGCAGAGATGGCGGGGCGAACTGCAAACATGGGCCATTGAAAAATGCTGCGAAAGAAAGCTGGAAGCCCGTGGAATGCTGGGACAGAAAACAATGCGTCATGGGACATTGCACCCGGTTCCAAGATGCACCATGATCTACTCCACCTTCCCACAAGACCTCGTGGCAGAAGGTGTCCAGCTGGACTGTGGGATAGGTACTCAAGGTGCATTGCTCAAACTGTTGATAGTGCCCTAATTGTGGATGCGCTCTGCTGACAGAGGGAGCGAGTGTGAACATACAATACCAATTTTTATTATAAAAACGAGGAGTGTGGTGGCATCTTAAAGACTAACAGATTTATTTGGGCATAAGCTTTCGTGGGTAAAAGTGGTGTTTCTTCTTCAGAAGTGGGTTTTTTACCCACGAAAGCTTATGCCCAAATAAATCTGTTAGTCTTTAAGGTGTCACCGCACTCCTCATTGTTTGTTTTTGTGGATACAGACGAACACGGCTACCTCTCTAATTTTTATTATAGAGCTTGTTGAGTGTCGACAAATTCTGTAGTGTAGTCAAGGCCTTGGTCTTTAGGCTTCTTCCCTTGTATTAGCCTTCCCGGAGTTCTTGTGACACACCTTGATAGGAGGACTCTCTGCCCATACTCTGTTAAAAGAGACCCTCAATGGGGGATTGAGACTCAAACTCCCTTACTCTTCATTTTCTCTCATTAGAAGCTGAAAGGTTCTAATCTTTTTAGTGCAGTCTGTGTGAACTTATCCAGCCAACAGTCCACCAGTCAAATCATGTTTAAAAACAAGATTTATTAAAGGTGGAGAGAAAATTATAGTAGAATAGCAGAAACAGGGTTTTCATAACATCTAGGCTTAAAGCTAAAAATAGAAAAGGCATTCTCAGTTTATCAATAAAATTAAAAGAAAACTGTACATCTCTTAATCAGTCACCTCACCCTGGCACAGCTTCTCCCTCCTGTGCTTCAAACCCTCTCTTTCTTGATAGCCTGACTGTTGTGGGCTCTTACAAAATAAAAAAATCCATCCATCCATCAAGTTCCTCTTCAAGGCTCATCCTATCAGGGCAAAGAGTACATCAGCATTTCCACAAAGTAATGTGTGGTCAGGTGCACTGTCTGGAGGAAATGAGTGAATCTGTTTCCCATACAGTGATTATTGCCCCATCATTCTACTAACATCCTTTCATTTAGTTCTGGAAGATTCCCCACACCTTTCTTCCCTCCCCTCCCTCCCCCACCAGAGAGCTTTTCAAAGGTAGTTGTAGAGCTATCCGGGTGAACATGGTTTTTAGATATGCTATTTCACCCTCCTTTCAAATGTCTAGTATTTTGACTGCTTAGTGCTAAGCTTTATTCCAGTTCTTTTTTGTTTGGGTTTAGAAAAGTAATTCACAAATCTCATGGCTGAGTTTTTACTATAACTTTACTCTGTATTAAGTGCAAATACTACAGCTTCTCTGTTATGCAAGGCACTAAAGATGTTAATTCCAGGCGTATGTGTGACTGACTTGCTCTGCTTGGTAAAGTTAATTTGGGCTCTATCCACATTGTAAGTTAAGATTTGTTTGGAAAGTATAAAGCAGTTATCATTTAAAGGCTGTTTAGTTTACTGAGTATATGGCTAGAAACCTTATGTTGACAAAGTATTTGAAAGCATATTAAAATCTAAGAAATTACACACTGAAAACTGTGTGGGAGAGGAGTTATCTGTCCAAATCCTCTAGGGATACATCTTTTGGTGGTGTGTAGTGTTCATACCCACCCAGCCCACCTCACATGGGTATAAATAGCAGTATAGCTGGTGAGGCACGGCTTAGGCAAGTAAAAAAACACTTGAAGGCAGTGGGTATGTATGCAAGTATATACCATACATGCTCTCTACTCACCCAAGCTGTCTTCCTATCTATATTGCTATTTTTAGCCGTGTAGTGTCCTGCTGCTTCCCTGCTGCTGGAGCCTTTCCCCTCTGAAAGAAAAGATTTCCCTAGCAGGGAAAGGGTTGGGCTGCTCCCTTCTGTGGAGCCTTTCCCTGCCACAGGTGAAAGGTAAAGCCTTCCCCTGCTGCTGGAGCCCTCTCCCACCAAAAGTCAGGACACTGGCAGGAGGGAAAGGCTCTGTCACTTCCCCACTGCTGGAGCATTTCCCCTCCATGGGGAAAGCTCTGGCAGGGAGAGGCAGCTGGGAAAGACCATTGCAACTCTCTGCTGCCAGAGCCCTTCCCTGCTCCCTCCCTTGTACCAGAACCTTTCACGGAGGTGTAGCTACACACCACAGTTTGGTTGCATCCTGCTTTTCACTGCGTCATGTAGCTGCACATACATGATATGTATGCATGGTGGTGGCATGTAGTGTAGATGAAGCCTAAGTGTGTAATGATTGGGAGGGAAGGTCTGTATATGTGTAATACAATTGTAGCTGTCTTGTTCAAGATGTACAGACTAGTTTTATTCATTTCAAAAGAGTAAAAGCTGAAATGACTAAAGATATGTTTTCCTTCTTTGTTTGCAAGGCTCGCATGTCCTGGGACAGAGACTCCAGTGAAATGCGCTACAAGAGGCTTCAACACTTGCTTGAAAAAAGCAACATATATTCAAAATTCTTGCTGACCAAAATGGAACAGCAGCAACTGGAGGTAGATGTGTTCTAAGTTTAAATGACAGAATTTTGATTTTTTTTTTTTTAATTATTATAGAGCACTGTAAATCCTAGTCTGCACTAGGGAATCTTACAAAAATATTTCCCTCAGTGGGAGCGTCTGATGTCCTTGCTACCTCATTAGTTAAACCCAGATAAAAATGCCAGAAACTATTACAGCCCTATCTATATTATAGCTTCTTCTCAAGTGATTTTTTTTTAAGTTCCCAGTATAGTCTCAGCCTTTGCATAACATTGATAGAATTTTAAAAATAAACTGAAGCCGCCCCCAAAGAGCTTCTATTGTAACTAAGGTCCGTGATAACAATAAATCATCAGAATTCTTATTAATGGCATTAGTCTTGGGGGATGTGGAAGAGAGGGAGAGGTCGCTTTACAACAAATCGAGAAAATATTTCAAAATAAGAGACAAGATTAAAGAAGGTGGGAAACCAGGCATGAGAGGATGATGATGGAGCAAAGATGTAAAGTAGAACAAGGAGCAAGAGGTGAAGAGTTGTACAGAATATTTAAGGTTAAGAAATAAGCTTAAACTTGGTACAAAAGGAAAGAGGAAGACAGTGAAGGGATTCAAGGGGATAGATGTGGTCAGCAGTGGGAGAGAGAGCATTGATTTTTGGTAGACTACACGGGCTTTTTCCCCCAAATACTGGAGTCTTCAGTCTTTAAAAAAAAAAATCTGATTAGAACAATCTGCAGTTATTACACCTGTATAAATGCATACTCGGAAAGGATATTTTGCTTAACATGTTCCTATTTTAAAACTCCTTGCTTTTATGTATTGCTCCATGTTACATGTACCAAAAAGATCTGTGAGGGATTCTAAGAATTCCTGACTGAAAAGTGAGAATTTTAACAGTGTTTATCTTTTAGAAATCCTAGTTTCTTCAACGTAATCAGAAGACTAATTCCTTTTAAAGACACTGTAGTCCAGTTAAATTATCACTTCTGCTGTATTTGGAACAATGCAACGTGTAAAACTGAAAGTGCAGCTACAGATCATGCAAAAATAGATTACAGGGAAGGCGTAACATTTAAGCCATTAGTTTTATGTAAAATAAACACTTAACTAGCTTACAAGCTTCAACTTTTTTTGCGATAAAGCATTTCTGATATGCAGATTTTCTTTTGATAGAATTTTAAGTATCCAGCAAAAAGCAGTACAAAATAATTCTACTTACCCAGTGCCAAGCAATTTCAGCTACTTACCAGCTTTCATCTTGGCACCATTTTAAAATATGACTACAAAAGCAAAACCAGTCCCCATCTTACATTGTTAATATGGCACTGTGTGTACTCAGTGTCTATTAGTATTTTTATAATGGATAGATTTATTGCAGCTGTTCTATACAAGTAAGAACTTTGTTTTTTAGGAGCAGAAAAGGAAAGAGAAATTAGAAAAAAAGAAAGAAATGTTATTAAAAGCGGCAATGGTAAGATGTGTTGGCGGTTTTATACAAATTGCTTCTCTGGGATCTGCATGACAAATACCCTGAAATTGATACAGCAACATGGGTTTCAGAGTAGGCTGTAACTTTTCCTTGATTGGTAAATGTTAAAAATTAAGTTAGTAGAAAAAAATATTTTTTTTCCAGTCTTTGGCTTTACTCTTGAGTGTATGTACACTGTCATAAAGCCTTTTCCATGTATGTCCATGTCACACAACTGTCCTCTTAAGCAAAGCCATACTTAAACTTTTTTTGAACAGTTGTACCTAGAATGGCTTGATTTTCCAAGGTGGGCCAGGACTTTTTGAAAAACAGTTTTTAGCCCAAACTTTATTCAAGACTACCTGATGGTATATTTTGAGCATGTTATGTTGGACCTTGTTCTAACATCGCTAGATGCTATTTTTAGAAATCTATTTACCGTGTTTGGGAGTAACAGTTTTCAAAAATGATGTCAAACATAGTTACAAACTATGTAAACATGTCAATGCTGATTATACCTTTCTCTTATCTATCCAAGAGATACTAGAAAATATTTAAGTTGATAATGCTTTTAAATATTCACTTTCTAGAGTCAGAATCTAATTGATGAAAAAGAGGAGAAATCTGGTAGGTTGATCTATCATTAGGTTTTGCTTTTTGTCTATATTTAAGTATAGTTTTATTAATTTTTGATGTCGCTTACCTAGTATTTTGAGCCTATGTGATATTTTCTTATAGCTGTGAAGAAAAAAAGAGGAAGAGAAGATGAAACCTATTACATTTCAGAAGTCATGTCCAAAGAGGTAAGAGTGCATTTTATGTAATTTGCAGCAAATAGAAAAATATTTTCAATACATTAGCATTCCCTTGTGATGTAGCTTCCAGATACTGCTGTCTCATGGTACTGCAGCGTATTATAAACATGCATAGAATTCATTGATGTGCAATTTCAGAGGGGTTATTGACTAAAATGTGGTGGTATGTGATTTCTGCAGCTTATATTATCATCTCTTTAGCATAATCGCACACACCTTTGTTAACAAAATGAGGCATTTAAGCAGACTTCCAGAAGGTGTACCCATTTCTTCTCTCCCCAGCGTGTGTGTGTAAAAACGTAAACTTTATTTTGTGAACTTTATTTTGTATTCCCAGCTGTGTGGCCTTGAGCAAGTTATTTAATTTATCTGTGCATGTTCTTCTTATCAGCAAATGAGGATAATACACCTCTACTTCGATATAACGCTACCCGATATAACACAAATTTGGATATAACGCGGTAACGCAGTGCTCCGGGCGGGGGGCGGCTGCGCACTCCGGCGGATCAAAGCAAGTTCGATATAACACGGTTTCTCCTATAATGCGGTAACATTTTTTTGGCTCCCGAGGACAGCGTTATATCGGGGTAGCACTTTCAGATCCTGGGATTAAAGGTTCTACAAAAATAGATATTGCTATATTAGTTTTTCAAGTTGCTATAAAGCATATTTTACACTGGCATTTTTGTTTTATTTCTAGGAAATCTTGTCAGTGGCCAAAAAAAGCAAAGTAGAAAATCAGGTATGTCCATGCATATTGTTACAACTTAAGTGTACACTGTAAAACCAATTTAAATGTCTCTAATTTCAAAATTCCTCGTTGTATTTTAGATTGTCTTTACCCATTTTCTGCCCCCATATTTTAATTGTTTATTACTGAAAACCTACTTTTCTAACTATCCATATTTGTTAATCTAAGTTGCACATACCAACATGGAATAAGTGATTTTAAAATAAGTATCTGAAAATAGAATTCTTTATCTTGAAATTTTTTTTATTGGATTATGCCTCCAAACATCTTGCTAAAGAGAGAGGTATAAAATGCAGTTTTGCCGCTTGTTCTCTGTATTAAACTGGGAGGAAATGTCTAAAATATGTTAGCTCAATTTCTCTCTTCATTCTAACTGATAAAATAACAAATATGCATTTTTTACATTTATATAGAATAAATACAATTTTAGGAAAAATAAGCACTGGGAACCCTATATAAGATGTATGATTTTTGTCTAACTTGATTTTATTCATGACAAAGTGGTGGTTTTACTTATACATTATGAATGACTTTATGTGGTATATTTTTAAACTTGTTCTGTAGATAAATGGCTAACTGATATATCATTAGGTGCTCTACTAGAAGTTTTAAAAGTATGGGGTTAAATGGTGCACTGATTTAATATTAAGTTCAAGCCTCCAGAAGTTGGAGCCTAAATTTGTCTTGTGTTAAATGTGAATTGTTTGATAGTGTAGTGTGAAGCACAAGGGAAACATCTTTGTCTCTCAGAATATAAGTCATATGCTCAGGAAAAACAGAGTGCTGGAGTATCAGATCAGGCTTGCAACATACACATGATAAATTGTTCTAGTTTTGAGAATTGATAAGGTGCAGGATGGTGGGGAGTGGGGTTGGTTGTTCTTATAGGGAATTGAGTGTGTGGGGGGAGCCAACTTCTAGTGGTCACTAGAATTTGTTTAAAAAAGGGAAATAGTTCCACGTGAAATATGCTGTCCTTTGTGTGTCAAGTTTTGAGGTCTGTTCACTTTTATGGATAGCAACTTGGTGTTCAACATTATCATTTTATTTAGTAAATATTACTGCTTTTAAACTACAAAGAGTTGAAGGATACATTGCCATTGGGTGGTTGAATGTTTTAAATATTACACCTCTACCCCGATATAATGTGACCCGATATAACATGAATTCGAATATAACGCGGTAAAGCAGTGCTCCGGGGGGGGGCTGCACACTCCAGCAGATCAAAGCAAGTTCGATATAACGCGGTTTCACCTATAACACGGTAAGATTTTTTTTTGGCTCCCGAGGACAGAGTTATATTGGGGTAGAGGTGTAATTGGCTAGGTGGCAATATCGTCACTGGAAATTTTGTGCTTGAGTCATTGTGTGTGGTCAGCCACACTTTGATTAAATCTGCCTTTATCATTGCAGCTGGATACTGTTTTGCCTAACTGCAACATTGACTTGCAGATTTGCCAGAATTCTCAGCAGCTTGCTGAGTATGTTAACTAAGCTTTGCAATGTTTGTACTTAAATTCTCTGAACTTTCTTCTGTAGGATGAAAGCTCTTCTAACAAACTGTGTGCAGAAGACCTACAGAAAAATGGAGATTCTAATAGTGTCATTAAAGATAGGTTGTCGCAAGCTGTACGACATAATGCCAAGCACTTCCTTGATCCAGTACGGAAATTTAACGGGCAGCCAATACCCTTTCAACAGCCAAAGCTTTTTTCAGGAGGTGTTATGAGGTGGTACCAAGTTGAAGGCATGGAATGGCTCAGGGTATGAATCTGTATGTTAGCCTAAATCTTATGTTTATACTTATTTCAACAGAAGATGATATTGCTCATGTTTCAAAGTCTTCCACATTAAGTATATTGGGGGAACAGTGTTTCTTTTGGGTTTGGCACCAAAGCTGTGCAGAGCTGAGTTTTTTTGTTTTGTTTTTTAAGGAACTCTTGGTCCATGTTAGCTTTGGCCTTTCCAGCCCTATGTGGTTGACTGAACTGCAGAAATTGCATGCACGTTCCTTTAAAAGAAGGGCATATGTATGGGGACATTGCCACGTAATGTCTGGGTGAAAGTTTTGAAGGAAAACAGCTTAAAGCCACTCTTCTAATGGGAGTAAAACATGCATATGGGAAGCTGTACTCCATTTTCTCTGTTACAATGTACTGATATTTCAGGCAGGATTTTCCTTACCTGATTTCAGATGAGCTCTATCTCAAGTGTCAAAAATCAGTGCTTCCATCTTTGTTTTGGAATTATGAGTGGCCTGTAAAGGATTTCTAAAACTCAAAATTGGGCTCATACACTTATTTTTTTAAAGAATATTCAGGCCTCTTTTATACATCATAAAGTTTTTCTTCTTGATTTTTCACTTTAGAAATATCAGGAGTGTCAAGTCTAGTCTTCCCTGCTCTAACTAGAGAATGTCTTGGGGATCTGATGTGTGTTCTGAGCTCTTGCAACCTATTTGGAGAGTTGGTATTTTGAATTTTTAACAAAGACTTTTTTTATATAGGGCATTGGAGTTAAATGTATTAAAAGATTTAAATATTCTGACAAAAAGTCTTTCCTCTTTCAACTGCTCATGGTTACAGGGCTAACTGCACCGGTTCCATGTCTGGTCTCTCTAAGTGCACCTCTTCAGGTGCTAGGCCTCTTGCCCGTACCTGTCCCAAGGTGGAATCTTGTGCCGTTTTCCCACTCTTAGACAGGAACCTGAGTATACCAACTGCTTAACATCCAGCAGGTCCAACCCAGCTTCAGGCATGTTTCCTCCTTATGGGAACTTGTGACCAATGATATTGACCCAAGAGCCTTCTAAACAGTGTTTTAAAATCCATTTCTCTTTTGAATATTTGTTCCAATTGCTAAATAAAAATAAATAGCCTACATGCACATTCAGTTTCATCTAAATTGTGCACTTCACTACATATGGAAAGGAAAGTCTGACTTAGCAACAAGAACAGAATAGACCCAATTAAGTCCCCTGTAGTCATCACAGGGCATACCTACACTACAGATTTCTGCTGGCACTGTTATGTTGGTCAAGGGTGTGAAGAAGTGTGCCAGCAAATGCCCCTACTGTAGCCACAGGTACACTGGCAAAACTGTGCTTTTTCATGTTATAGCTTATTTCTCTTGGGCTAGGAGGTTGGAATAAGCTTTACTGAAAAAATTGCAGTTTTTCTGGTATAAGTTGTGTCCATACTAGGAGCACACTTTGTCTGTATGGTATAATAGTATATCTATACTACCAAAGCACTCCTAGTGTTGATGTGGCCATAGGTCTTGTCTACCCTGAAAGAGACTAACTTTCTAATATTTAAAAAACAAACAAACAACCCCTCTCCCAGCTTTTCTTCAAATCTTTTCCACTGACTTTTATCCATCAAAGAAGCTTAAAAGGATACAAGCGCAAGTTTTTCCCTCTGATTGTTTTTGGCTCAGACTTAAAGGTAACAATGTGCTGATTTTAGAAAGCAGATGATAAAGGCTAGTTGGCTAAAATATCAGTGTAACTACACCTCTACCCCGATATAACGAGCCAAAATATCTTACTGCGTTATATTGAACTTGCTTTGATCCGCTGGAGCGTGCAGCCCCCCCCTCTTCCCCCCCGAGTGCTGCTTTACCACATTATATCCGAATTTGTGTTATATTGGGGTAGAGGTGTATGTAGGGAGATTCCTACTTCTGTGCAGAAGCATGACATTACAATTATGCAGCTGGTTTTTTGTTAGCTATGTCTCTGTATTTGTTTAACTTGTAAAGCATATTTATTCATGGAGCAAGCGTTCACTCTTAAAATTTATTTTAATATTGAACACTAAAGTGTCTGAATATGAAATACTGTTTCTATATTCTGCTTTGAGCACTCAAAATGACCAAGCAGAATTTTTACCAAACTTTATAAAAAATTACCTTTTAGTTTAGAAACCAGCATGAAAAATGTCAACAGAAAATTTCTAGTGAGGTTATCATATCACTTAGGGATAAGCGTTCAGTTAAGGGCATACAGATACCTGATATGTGTCCAAGTTCTTGCACTTTCACAAGGCCAGTTGGCCACCTAACCTGCCACATGTATACGTAAATATTTGACTGGCACATGCATATACAGATCCTTTGTATCTAAGTTAGGCAAGTAGAAATTTTATTCATCTAACTCTGAAAATATGCGTATGGGAAGAGATTGATAGCAGGAGCCAAATGGTGAATGCAGTCATAGGTGTTTATATTCACCTGGATGTCTAGTGCTTATTAGGCATATGTATCTTTCTGTGTATGCAGATGCTTTGGGAAAATGGCATTAATGGCATTTTGGCTGATGAAATGGGACTGGGAAAGACAATCCAATGTATTGCTACAATAGCACTGATGGTAGAGAGAGGAGTCCCTGGACCATTCTTAGTATGTGGTCCCTTGTCTACTCTTCCTAACTGGATGTCCGAGTTCAAGAGATTCACTCCAAAGGTAAAAAGCATTTTCTTTGTAGTGTTTTAGAAGAGCAAATTATTTCATTTTCATAACTGTTTTGATTTGGAACTTGTTCTATATGTATTGTAACCACAGTGGTAGTTCTTAGTGTGATTACTATAAAATGTGTGGGTTCTTGATTGCTACTTATTAATGGAAGTATAAAAACTCCTTTTAGATTCCCATAATGCTGTATCATGGATCCCAGCAGGAACGTCGTAAATTGGTTCAAAAAATTCACAGGCGAGAAGGTTCACTGCAAATTCATCCTGTGGTCATTACCTCGTTTGAAATAGCCATGAGAGACAGAAATGCCTTGCAGGTACACAGTGCACCTTCACAGGTGGAATGCCTCAGTATCTCTAATATAGCTTACAACAGTGCTTTCTACTGCTGTAGAAACTTCAAACGTTTTTTCTGCTGGGTAGCAGTGTCACACCGTAACAGTTAGAGCTGCTTTTATCTGTTTCCAAGTGCACTGTTCCCTCAGTGTCTAGAGCCCTGGATTGGCATATTTAGTAACTTTCTGAAAAAAGTAGAATGCATTACCCAAAACGGGTTGTGGACAATGGTAGGGAAATTACAGTAAGAAGGCAAGCATAGTCATTAGCCTGAAGCAAACTTGTCCTAAGTGATCTCTCAACAGATGGACAAAAATTGGTTGTTTAAAGGGGAGGTGGTTGTGACGGGTTCCCCCTCGTGTGCCACCTGGAACTGGGGTACCACTGAGCTGCCTGGGCTCCCTCTCTCACTGTGCTGCTGTGACAAGCTGCAGACCCCCTCCCAGTTCTACACTTCCACCAGCATTCACACAGGTAGGAACACATCCAGCTGCAGTTACAGGCAGGCTCTCTGATCAGCCACTGCATGAAGCAACAGTAGAAAGTCTACAGCCAAAGTAATTCAGCTCCCCAGGCACACACTCCCTCTGGAGTATAAGCCCAAAATTATACCATCTTGCACTGCATAGGCATTTGTACAGTATAAGCTCATAGCGTCTTTTCTCCTCCGCCCCCCCCCCCCCCACTGTGGAGAGGAATATGCAACAGCCTTTGCCCCTTGAGCTACGATTTCCCATGCATTTCATTCAAATGCACTGGTTTAGATAAAGCAAAAACAAGTTTATTAACTACAAAAGATAGATTATAAGGGATAGGAAACAGATCTAAGCAGATTACCTAGCAAATAAACAAAACACAAACTAAGCTTAATATATTATAAGATTAGATATGAATTAACAGTTTCTCACCCTGAGAGATGATACAAGCAGGCTTGCAGATTCTTAAGGAACAAGCTGCACTTGCTTTACAGCTTGAAATCTCCAAGTCTTTCATACATGGCTAGAAATCCTTTTAGCCTGTGTCCAGCACTTCCCCCAGCTCAGTCTTTGTTCCTCAGGAGTTTTCTTGTGTGGGGAGTGAAGAGAAACAGATGATGTCACTCCTTATATAGCTTTAACATATGGTGGGAACCTTTTGTCCCAAAGCTCAGCTTGTGGAAAAATACTGGCATCCCAAGATGGAGTCCAGAGTCATGTGACCTGGTCACAGGCCCTTGCATACATTACTGAGGGCTGGTCAACACGACGATGTTGTCAACAAAACTTTTGTCTTTCAAGGGTACTTTAAAAAGCCCACCCCGTGAAAGACAAAAGTTTTGCTGATGCAAGTGGCAGTGTGAATGCGGCTTTGTTAGCAGGAGCCCTCTGCTGCGACAAAGCTAACACTGCTTGTGAGGTTGGAAATATTTTGTCGATAAAAGTGCCTACAAAACACCAACAGAGCGTTTACACACGCTGACTTTTAGCAACAAGGAGACAGCCTTGTCGCTAAAAGCTGCATAGTGTAGACAAGCCCTGAGTCATAGCAGCCATTAATTACAGGCTGCCTGGAACCTTCAGATGATGGTTAAGTTCTTCTACGGTCCATTGGCTTTGATGGGCCATCTGCACTGTCTGGCTTCATTGTTGTACCTGAAAGACTGGCTGTGGGTGTTTTCCAGAGTAAGCCCATTTGAAATACAGATCCCTAGTCAGTATTCATAACTTCATATACAAAAATGTTACATGCATACAAATAGGATAATCATATTCAGCAAATCATAACTTTTTCAATGAAACCCCACATGACTTATATTGTACAAAATGCATCATAATTATGCCATAATCATATATATATAGTAATATTACTGTGAAGAATATGGGGTGCAGTGTCAGAGTGGGTTTTGGAGTAGAATTTGTATTTAGTACAGTACATTGAGTGGTCACTTAAGACAGGAGGTTGCTTAATAATGGTCATCTCTGCTTTTGCTATAGAGTCAAGGAAGGAGCATTCCTGGTGCAACACATTTTTCTTAATAACATTTCAGTTCTATATCAGTTTTTGCACTCCTGAATAATATAAACTATAAAATATTACACAAACTACATTAAAAACGTTAAGGTTGCAAAGTCAACAGTTAGGAAGTGCCAGAATTAAGGTTTCCTGTTGCTCAAGCATGGTCTTCACTGAGTATGCACGAACTGAGACTTTTCCACGGCTTATAACATGGGCAAATTTGGGGTGGGTTTTTATGGATATTTAGAAAGACACTTCGCTGACACATAGGTCAGTCCTTGCCGATTTTAACTCCCTGCTCCACTAGAACTCAGATAGTCACATGAATTTAAAATATTTTTGTTAGCCTTGTTCTTGGAAACAACTTGGAGTGTTGTGGGTGAAATTACACACACACACACACACACACACACACACACACACACACACACACACACACACACACACAC